CTCATGGTCAAAGGACGACTCATGCAAGACATTAATAAGAGGCCCAGTTATGGCTCTAGGGATAGAGACTTCTGCTTTTGCCTACAGGGTACTTATGGGAAAAATAAAAACCTGCTCTGGTAGGGAAGGGAACGTTTTGGGGAATGACACAAAAACCTCTCTTTATGTACAATTATAATGTACTAATAATAATAAATGAATTTTTAAAAATATTGTTTTAACCACTCCCAAATGCTTAAAAGGGAAAATCAATAGTATTCTGTTTTTTAATACCATTATCTGAAATGAACATGAAAATCCTAGTCATTAAGAACACTGCCTTCAAAATCAGAACAAATGCCAGAATTTGAAGACACAACTGATTATTCCCAATAATCTCAGTTCTGTTTGCATTGATCACTGTATCAATAAGCCATTGCTGCATAACAATCTATCCCCAAGGCAAATGATTTAAGATGATGTTTTTCTTACCTCATAGGCATCTAACAGAATGGGCCTGTCATACTTCTCTTAGCATGGCATGCTCTAATATCATTCATATTGTTATAAGTGAAAGAATGACAGCTGCATGGTATTCCATTGTATAATATATACTACATTGTATTTATTTATCTACCAATGAACTTCAAAAGCACTATATTAAATTGGTTTTATTTCCTTGACATCCTTTTAATTGCTGGTTTTTTCCCTATATTTTATCTACATAGTGCACATACATTTACACAATACCATGAGACTGTGAGGACCAACAAAGCAGGTGAAGTCCCTGCTCCTGAGGATATCGGTGTGGATGACATGTGGATATCATTCTGGTGAATAGAGAAAACGACCAGATAAATGTGTTAGGGCTGCTGTCTTCAGGGATAAATCTTATGAAAAATGCCATCCAATGTGAAAGGATACAATCATCATGGTCGGCAAAGAACCTTACAGAATATGGTCTGGAGAGGTATCTGCATGTTGGGAAAAGACAAGAGACAGAAATTAAGCATACCCATTAGATTTATCAAAAAGGAGGTCAACCCCAACTCACCCATCCCCTGCAAAAAAAGAGGAAAAAAATTGCCACAAACAGCAATGATAAATTATATTTTAATGTATATACAAATACACAACAAAACCCATCATCCTGTATAATTACATGCATGAATAAAAAATATGATGACATGAAAATTATGTGAAACTCAAAAAAATGTGAGACACAGACATGCTTGTCTGTTATTGGAGTGTATAAAAGCCAGTCATTCAAATAAATACATAATAAGCAAAAGAAATACCAATCTTATATTTTCTTATATACCAAATGACCAATTTGTGTTGTTTTTATTATTAAATTGTTCCTAATTTCTTACTTATTTCCTTTGTTTATTACTTTATCCTGTAATTTTCTATCTGCAAATGTCCTGACATTATTAAAAAAACATATAATTATTTCAAACCCATCTTTTGCATGGATTTCTTTTCATTGTTTTATGACCTTGGCTGGCCACCAAGGGGCTGTGCTGTAGTTGGAATGCTTCCAGAAACAAGGGAGCTTTTGCTCTTATAGTCTCTTGGGGAATCACTGAGCTTATTAGACCTTCCTATTTCAATCAGGTCCAATTAATTCTACTCTCACTGTTTATTGATGGCAATTTTTAAATGTTTTCTCTAGCAATCAGGAAAGAAAATGGCCACAGCAAATGGAGCCCCAAGCTTCCACATGAATAAGAGATTGGTGAACTAGAAATTCTGGGTTCCATAAATACATTCTTTTTTTAAAAAAAATCATACACTTACTAAGGGAACGGCAGTCTGATATTGACATCTTTCCTTGTATCCGTTTTTTTCTAACATTAGAAAGTACCAAAATGAGAATATCATGGTACCAACATGGCCCCAGGAAGCTATGTTGTATGTGGGTTGTACGGTTGGCTAAATTATACTCCAAAAGGTGACTTAACACTACACAGAACAGAATTCAAGATAAATGGAGTTATAGAGGTCCACATTTCATTCCACAGGGCACCTTTGTGTCCAATTTAGTGGAATGTACATGCAACAACACCGGCCCGAAGGAACCCCCAAGGCCCTAACAAACAACAGGGCAGCCTGGTTCTCCAGCCTTCTCTGTCACCAACTTCATCTTCTCTGTCACCCTCCTGCTCATCCCCATCACCACCCTGCATTCCTTGTTGCTATTATAATTATTATTTCAAGAGCATTCTTTGCATTAGAGTCCACTCTCTCAGTTGTACATTCTATGACTTCTGACAAATGTATAATGACACTCATCCACAGTCTCTTACAAAATCATGTGACTCTCCTAAAAATCTTCTCTATTCCACCTATTCTTATCTCCATGCGTCCAACCCCATAATGGCCAACTACTGCTTTGTGTTTTTGCCATCTTCACAGTACTCTTGTCTTCAATGTCATACAGTTTGGGTTTTTTGTTCCAGTTTGTTTTCATAGTCTTGGAGGTTAAACCCAGGGTCTCCTATGTGCTAAGCTGTACCATCAAGTGACACCCACAACATTGGGTCATACAGATGGAATCATTCAGCATGGAGCCCAATGAGGTTGGCTTTGTCACTTAGTGGTGAACATTTAAGGTTCTTCAATGACTTTTTAAGACCTGAAAACACTCTCCTTTCCATGGCTCAGTAATGAATTTTCCATTGTGTGGATGTACCTCAATTTGGTTTACCTATTAAAGGACATGTTGGTTGCTTCCAAGTTTTGGCAAATACAAATAAAATCACTATCAATATTTATGTGCAAGTGGATATTTTGTTGTTGTTTATGCCTGTGTGGACATGAGTTTTTAACTGATTTGGGTAACTACTAAGGAGTGCAACTGCTTAATTAATAGGAACAGTATGTTTAGTTTTATAAGAAATTGCTAAACAGTATTCTGAATTGGTCCTCATGTTTTGCATTCCTATCAGCAATGAACAGAGTTTCCTCTTGCTCCAAACCATTGTCAACACTTACTGTTTCCATTCATTTGAATCTTAATTATTTCAATAGGTGTGTCATGGAATCTCATTATTTTATTTGGCAGCTCTCTAAGGACAGATGACACTAGGGATGTCCTCGTGTGCTTATTTGCCATCTGTATGTCTTCCTTGATGATGTCTCCACTCAGAACTTATGTCAGTTTTTCCAATTGGGTCATCTGACTCCTTATTAGTGACTTTTAAGAGTTATCTATATATTTTGAACATCAGTATTTTATCAGATATTTGTTTTGCAGAGACTCTATCCCATCTATGACCTGAATTTCTTTTTACTAACAATTCATTTCTCAGAGAAATTTTTCATTTTACTGATCTATCAATTCTTCCTTTAGTATATTGGGCTTTTTGCATTTTATCTAAAAGGCTATTGCCAAATCCAATGTCATCTAGATTGTTCTCTGTTATCTTTTGAGATTTCTACAGTTTTGCATTTGACCTCAAGGCTTGTATCCATTTTGAGTTTATTTGT